AGTATTACCATTATTGCTGACAACATCACACCATAATGCATTAAGGACACCAGATGTTGATAACCCAAAGCAACCTTTTGATGCTCTAAATATTGAAGAATGCTCTTGGACACAACAAAATAAAAGCACTATTGATGTGGCGTTTCAGGATCCCAATGCAGTTTACAGTGAGCTTATTCTTTGGAGGGTTGACCCAGTTGGGCCATTGTCTTTTTCTGGAGGAGTTTCAGAGCTTGCCCGGATTAATTCTCTTCATGTTTCTGCGTTTTCCAATGTGGCATGGCTGCCCACTCTTATACCCAGTTATTGTCTGGGTAAGTATTCTGGTTTTTATTTCAGTAATTTAGATTTGCTGACATTATCATTAAAGGGTGAAATTTTAATATTTGTAAATACTTTCTAGGTGCATACTGCAACTCTCCTAGTGCATGCTTTGTAGCCAGTGATGGACAATATCTGAGATTATATGAAGCAGTTATTGATGCTAAGAAACTTTTATCTGAGCTTTCTAACCCTGAAATTTCTGTAAGTAATGTCTTTTAAAACAGCTTAAGTATCTAATGTTATGTTTTTAGATAGTTTATATTTTTTGGGTATGTTCTAGAATTGTGACCTATAATTTGTAATAAGCATTTGTATCTTTGTTTTATTTTTTCACATTTGTGTTGTACTCTTAACCAATGATTCTAAGCTCCTTTAAAAGGAAACCATTTCTTTCACTCTTTGAAAGAAAGTAGAGTCTGGTCTCCTAAAATATGTTTCTGTAACACTTCTTTGCTTGTAGATAAATGAGGACTACTGACAGTATAATGTAGAAGTTATATCGGCCCATCTGCAATTATTTTATAGGCCAGAGGAGCTGGAATAACAGGAATAGAATTTTTATCTTAAGCATGAAAAGAAAGAGTCCTTAGCTTGGTTACGATTCAGACAAGAGTTCTTTCAGTATTGTTGCAAGGCTTTTGCCTTATGACAGGCCACATTTGTTCTCATACCCACCTAATAACAACCTTCTAACTGCATTGTCTTGGAACATCCAGCAAGCAAGCATTTCCACTTTTCTGGTTTTGACAATTTTTCTTTTGGTATCTCCAGAAGTAGCCTTCAGCTGTACCAAGCTTTCTATTTAGGAGATTCAAGCCATCTCCCTGACTGCCAATTAATGTATTTGTTAATGCTTGGCTTACAAAGTTGCATAAATGTCAGTGATCTGTTCCAATCCTGTTTTTTTTCTGTAAGTTAATTTTAATGCGTAACTTTGCAGAACACAAGGTTTTCCAAAACATGTATATAGTGTTACAGTAGAAATGTATGTATTTGGTGGGGGAGGTCTTCTATTTATCAGGCGTTTTTAAGTAATGGGAATTTAGATGTGAAGAAAACAGGTAAAAATTTGTATTGTAGAGCTTATATTCTGGTAAAGGGAGATACGAAGAAAACAGATAAAAATATATTAATTAAAAAATACTATGGAGAGAAACAGTGTTGCAGAAGAATTAGGGATTGCCAGGGAAGTTCAGGGAAAATTTCACAGAAAAAGTACCATTTGAGTAAAGATCTGAAGATGTGGGAACTAGATATGTAGGTATTTGTTAAAGGGAGAGTGATTTGGGAAAAGGGATGGCTAGTTCGGAGATCCCGAGGCCACAGCATGTTTGGTATGTGATATGGTTTGGCTCTGTGTCTCACCCAAATCTCATCTTCAATTATAATCCCCACATGTTGAGGGAGGGATCTGGGTGGGAGGTGATTGGATCATGGGGGCAATTCTCCCATTCTGTTCTCATGATAGTGAGGGAGTTCTCACAAGATCTGATGGTTTTAAAAGTTGCAGTTTCCCCTGCGCATGTGCTCTCTCCTGATACCTGTGAAGAAGGTGCTTGCTTCTCCTTTGCCTTCTGCCATGATTGTAAGTCCTGAGGCTTCCTGAGCCGTGTAGAATTGTGAATCAATTAAACTAATTTATAAATTACCCAGTCTGAGGTATTTATTTATAGAGTGTGAAAACAGCCTAATACAGATAATTGGTACCAGGAGTGGGGCACTGCTATAAGGATAACCCAAAAATGTGGAAGCGACATTACAACTGGGTAACAGGCAGAAGTTGGAATAGTTTGGAGGGCTCAGAAAAAGACAGGAAGATGTGGGGAAGTTTGGAACTTCCTAGAGACATGTTGAATGACTTTGACCAAAATGCTGATCGTGATACGGACAATGAAGTCCTGGCTGAGGTGGTCTCTGATGGAGATGAGGAACTTACTGGGATCTGGAGCAAAGATCACTCATGTTATGCTTTAGCAAAGAGACTGGTGGCATTTTGGCCCAGCTCTAGAGATCTGTGGAACTTTGAACTTGAGAGAGATGACTTAGGTTATCTGGCAGAAGAAATTTCTAAGCAGCAAAGTGTTCAAGAGATCACCTGGCTTAGTCTGAATGCATTCAGTTATATGTGTTTATAAAGAGATGGCTTGAAATTGAAATTTATGTTAACTTATGTTTAAAAGGGAAACAGAGCATAAAGGTTTAGAAAATATGCAGCCTGACCCTGTGGTAGAAAAGAAAAACCCATTTCTGGAGAAGAATTCGAGGGCTACAGAAATTTGCATAAGTAACCAGGAGCTGAATGTTAATAGCCAAGACAATGGGGAAAATGTCTCTGGGGCATGTCAAAGATCTTCATGGCAGCCCCTCCCATCAGAAGTCCAGAGGCCTAGGAGGGAAAATGGTTTCATGGATCAGGCCCAGGACCCAGCTGCTCTGTGCAGCCTTGGGATTCAGTGCCTTGCCTCCCAGCTGCTCTAGCTCCAGCCATGGCTAAAAGGGGCCATGGTACAGCTCGGGCTTTTGCTTCAGAGAGTGCAAGCCCTAAGCCTTGGTGGCTTCCACATGGTGTTGGGCCTGTGGGTGAGCAGAAGATGAGAGTTGAGGCTTGGCAGCAACCACCTAGATTTCAGAGGATGTATGGAAACAGCTGGATGTTCAGGCAGAGGTCTGCAGCAGAGGCAAAGCCCTCATGGAGAACTTCTACTAGGGCAATGCAGAAGGAGAATGTGGAGTTGGAGTGTCCCACAAAATTCTACTGGGGCCTGCCTCATGGAACTGGGAGAAGAGGGCCATCATCCTCCAGACCCCAAAAAGGTAGATCCACTGACAGCTTGCACCATGTGCCTGGAAAAGCCATAAGCACTCAACACTAGCCCATGAAAGCAGCCACAGGCATTGTACCCTGCAGAGCCACAGGGGCAGAGCTTCCCAAGGCCGTGGGAACCCACCCGTGTGTCAGTGTGCCCTGGATGTAAGACATGTAGTCAAAGGAGATTTTGGAGCTTAAGATTTAATGACTGCCTGGCCAAGTTTCAGACTTGCATGGAGCCCATGGCCCCTTTGTTTTGGCCAGCTTCTCCTATTTGAAACAGAACATTTACCCAATGTCTGTGCTCCCATTGTATCTTGGAAGTAACCAACTTGCTTTTGATTTTACAGGCTCATAGGCAGAAGGGACTTCCCTTGTCTCAGATGAGACTTTGGACTTGGACTTTTGGGTTAATTCTGGAAGGAGTTAAGACTTTGGGGGACTATTGGGAAGGCATGATTGGTTTTGGAATGTGAAAAGGGGATTTGGGAGGGGCTTGTGTGAATTGATATGGTTTATTGCTGTGTGCTCACCCAAATCTCATCTCGAATTGTAATTGCACATGTCAAGGGAGGCACCTGGTGGGAGGCGATTGGAACATGGGGGCCGTTTCCCTCATGCTGTTTGCCTGATAGTGAGCAAGTTCACACAAGATCTGATGGTTTTAAAAGTGGTAGTTTCCCCTGTGTGGTTTCTTTCCTGCCACCTTGTGAAGAAGGTCTTACTTCTCCTTCACCTTCCACCATGATTGTAAGTTTCCTGAGGCCTCCCCTGCCATGTAGACCTATGAGTCCGTTAAACTTTTATTTATAAATTACCCAGTCTCAAGTATTTATTTATAGCAGTGTGAAAACAGACCAATACAGTATGTAAAGGAACAGCAATAAGGCCACCGTGGCTAGAGAAGAGCATATGAGGTGGAAAATAGGGATAAAGTCAGAAAGTTAGCCTGGCCAGGTCATATGAAGGCTGATAGGCCATTGTGGTTACTTCAGCTTTTACTCTGAATAACATGGAAACCACAGAAGAGGTATGAAATGATTTAAGTTTTAAATGATTCCTCTGGTGGCTATATAGATTAGACATGGGATGCAGAAGTAGATCTAAAGAGACCAATTTAGGAACCAATTACAGTAGTCTAGGAGAGGGAAAAAAGGAGCTTAGAATGTAACTAGTGGTAATGGCAGAGATGATAAGAATGGCCAAATTCAAGATGTTGTTTAGAACATTGAATAGCTATGAATGAACTGGATACGGTATGTGTGTGAGAAAAAAAGAGGACTCCCAAGGTTCATTATTGAATATTAGGAAGAATAGAATTGCTGTAAATTGAGATGTGGAAGAATGTAGAAGTAACAGGTTTTGAGGGACAGGGAAATTCAAGAGTCTGGCTTTAATCATGTTAATTTTGAGATGCCTGTTTGACAGCCAAAAGACATAGTAGGTTAGTATCTGGAGTTCAGAGGAAGGTCTGGCCTGAAGATATGCGATAGTTGTCAGCATATAAATTTAAAGTTGTGGAAGTGGGTAAGATTGTCAAGGGTGAGACTATAGTTAGAAAAGGCCAGGAGGAGCGATGGCTTGTGCCTGTAGTCCCAGCCGTTTTGGAGGCCGAGGCAGGCGGATCACTTGAGGTCAGAAGTTTGAGACCAGGTTGGCCAACATGGTGAAGCCCCATCTATTAAATATATAAAAATTAGCCAGATGTGGTGGCAGGAACCTAGAGTCTCAGCTACCCAGGAGGCTGAGGCAGGAGAATCGCTTGAACCTGGGAGGCAGAGGTTGCAGTGAGCCAAGATCACACCACTGCACTCCAGCCTTGGACAACAGAGAGAGACACCATCTTAAGAAGTGATAGATTGAATGTGTGCTCACTTCAGCAGCACCATATACTAAAATTGGAATAATACAGAGAAGATGAGCATGGTTCCTGGGCAAGGATGACATGCAAATTTGTGAAGTGTTCCATATTTCTCCAGAAGAGACTGGGGACCTGTATTCAACATCGTTAAAGAAAAAAAAGTCTTCAACCAAGAATTTCATATCCAGCCAAACTAAGCTTCGTAAGTGAGAAGAAATAAGACCCTTTTTAGATAAACAAATTTTGAGGGAGTCTGCCTTACAAGAGGTCTTGAAGGGAGTAGTAAATATTGAATGGAAAGATCACTACCACCTGATATAAAAACACGCTTAAATACACAGACCAGTAACACTATAAAGCAACCACACAAACAAGCCAGCATAATAACCAGCTAACAACACAATAACACAATCAGATCCACACATATCAGTGCTAACCTTGAATGTAAACAGGCTTAGTGCCTCATGTACATGGTATAGAGTGGCAAACTAGATTTTAAAAAACAGTGGTATGTGGTCTTCAAGAGACCCATCTCACATGTAATGACACCCATAGGCTCAAAATAAAGGGATGGAGAAAAATCTACCAAGTAAATGGAAATCAGAAAAAAAGCCAGGTTGCCATCCTGATTTCAGACAAACCAGACTGTAAACCAACAAAGATTTAAAAAAGACAAAGAAAGGCATTACACAATGGTAAAGGGTTCAATTCAACAAGAAGACCTAACTATGGTAAATATACATGCAACCAACACAGGAGCACCCAGATTCATAAAGCAACTTCTTAGAAACCTACAAAGAGACATAGACTCCCACATAATAATAGTGGGAGACTTCAATACTTCACTGTCAGTATTAGATCATGTAGGCAGAAAATTAACAGATATTCAGGACCTGAACTCAACATTGGACCAAATGTATCTGACAGACTGCTGCAAAACTGTCCACCCAAAACAACAGAATAGATATTCCTCTCATTGCCACATGGCACATACTCTAAATTGGACCACATAATTGGACATAAAACAATCCTCAGCAAATGCAGAAGAACCCAAATCATATGAAACACACCGTTGGACCACAGTACAATAAAAATAGAAGTCAGGATTTAAAAAATAACTTAAACCAGGCAATTACATGGATATTAAAAACATGCTCCTGAATGACTTTTGGGTAAACTGTGAAATTAAGGCAGAAACCAAGAAGTTCTTTGAAAGTAATGAGAATGAAGATACAACATGCCAGAATCTCTGGGACACAGCTAAGGCAGTGTCAAGAGGGAAATTTATAGTACTAAATGCCCACATCAAAAAGTCAGAAAGATCACAAATTAATAACCTAACGTCACAACTGAAAGAATTAGAGAAGGAAAAACAAATCAACCCCACAGCTAGCAGAAGATAAGAAATCATCAAAATCAGAGATGAACTGAAGGAAATTGAAACACAAAATACCATTCAAAAGATCTACAGTTCCAGGAATTGGTTTCTTGAAAAAAATTAATAAGACAGATACATTTCTAACTAAGAGAGAGAAAATCCAAATAAACCCAATTAGAAATTACCAAGGGGATGTTACCACTGACTCTACAGAAATAAAAACAATAATCAGAAACTACTACAAACACCTGTATGGACACAGACTACAAAACCTACAAGGGATGGATAAATTCCTGGACACGTACCCCCTCCTAAGACTGAACCAGGAAGAAATTGATTCCCCAAACTGACCAATACAAGCTCCAAAATTGAATCAGTAATAAATAGCCTACCAACCGAAAAACCCAAGGTCTGAGGGATTCGTAGCTGAATTCCACCAGATGCACAAAGAAGAGCTGGTACCATTCCTACTGAAACTATTCCAAAAAATTGAGGAGGAGGGACTCCTCCCCAACTAATTTTTTGAGGCCAGAATTATCCTGATACCAAAACCTGGCAGACACACAAAAAGAAAGCCCAATATCCTCTATGAACATCAATGCAAAAATCCTTGACAAAATACTGGCAAACCAAATCCAGCAGCACATCAGAAAGCTAATTCACAATGATCAAGTAGGCTTAATTCCCAGGATGCAAGTTTTGTTCAGCATACGAAAATTAAATGTGATTTATCACATAAGGAGAACTGCAGACAAAAAACACATAATTGTTTCGATAGATGCAGAAAAGGCTTTTGATAAAATTCGGCATTCCTTCATGTTAAAAACTCTCAATAAACTAGGTGTTGAAGGAACATACCTCAGAATAATAAGAGCCATCTTTGACAAACTCACAGCCAACATCATACTGAATGGGCAAAAGCTGGAAGCATTCCCCTTGAAAACTGACACAAGGCAAAGATTCCCTCTCTTACCACTCCTGTTCAACATTTTATTGGAAGTGCTGGCCAGAGCAATCAGGAAAGAGGAGTAAAGGGCATCTAAATAGGAAGACAGGGAGTAAAACTATCACTGTTTCTACATGACATGTTTCTATATCTAGATAACCCTATGTCTTGACCCAAAAGCTCCTAGATCTAATAAACAGCTTCAGTAAAGTTTCAGAATGCAAAAATCGATATACAAGAAATCACTAGCATTCCTATATACCTACAACAGCTAAGCTGAGAACCAATTCAGGAAGACAGTCCCATTCCCAACTGCCACAAAAAGAATAAAATACATAGGAATACAGGTATCCGTGGGGGGTGAAAGATCTCTACAATAAGAATTACAAAACACTGCTCAAAGAAATCAGATAAGACACAAACACATGGGAAAAAGATCCTATGTTGATGGATAGGAAGAATCAGTACCATTAAAATGGCCATACTGCCCAAAACAATTTACAGATTCAATGCTATTCCTATCAAACTACCAACAACATACTTCACAGAACTAGAGAAACCTATTTTAAAAGTCATATGGAACCAAAATAAGAGCATGTGTAGCCAAGGCAATCCTAAAAAAAAGAACAAAGCTTTGAGGTATCATGTTACCTGACTTCAGACTATACTACAGGGATACAGTAACCAAAACAGCAGAATAGTGATACAAAAAGAGGCACATTGACAATGGAACACAATAGAGAATCCAGATATAACACACCTACAACTCTCTGATCTTTGACAAACCTGACAAAAGCAATGGGGAAAGGATTCCCTATTTAATAAATGGTGCTGGCAGAATTGACTAGCCATATTCAGAAAATTGAAACTGGATCCCTTCCTTGTATCATATACAGAAATCAACTCAAGATGGATTAAAGACTTAAATGTAAAACCTAAAACTCTAAAAACCCTGGAAGACAATTCTAGGCAATACCATTCTGGACATGGGAATGGGCAGTGATTTCACGACAAAGACATCAAAAGCAATCATAACAGAGTAAGTAGACAACCTACAGAATAGGACAAAATATTTGCAACCTGTGCCTCTGAGAAAGATCTGAATATCCAACATCTCTAAGGAACTTAAACAAGTTTACAAGAGAAAAACAGCTCCATCAAAAAGTGGATAAAGGACATGAGCACTTTTCAAAAGAAGATATACATGTGGCAACAAATATGATAAACTCAATATTACTGATCATTAGAGAAATGCAAATAAAAACCACAGTGTGACACCATCTCACACCAGTCAGAGTGGCTATTATTAAAGAGTCAAAAAACAAAAAAGATGCTGGTGAGGTTGTAGTGAAAAGGGAACACTTACACACTGTTGATGGGAGTATAAATTAGTTCAGCCATTGTGGAAAACAGTACTGTGATTCCTCAAAGAGCTAAAAACAGAACTGCCTTTCGACTGAGCAATCCCATTACTGGCTATGTACCCAAAGGAATATAAATCATTCTGTGATAAGGGCACATGCATGTGAATATTCATTGCAGTATTATTCACTATAGCAAAGACATAATCAACCCAAATGCCCAAGAGTGACAAAGAGTAACAGATTGGATTAAGAAAATGTGGTGCGGCTGGGTGCGGTGGCTCAGGCCTGTAATCCCAGCACTTTGGGAGGCCGAGGCGGGTGGATCACGAGGTCAGGAGATCAAGACCATCCTGGCTAACACGGTGAAACCGCATCTCTACTAAAAAAGTACAAAAAATTAGCTGGGCGTGGTGGCAGGCACCTGTAGTCCCAGCTACTCGGGAGGCTGAGGCAGGAGAATGGCGTGATCCCGGGAGGCAGAGCTTGCAGTGAGCCGAGATCGCTCCACTGCACTCCAGCCTCGGCGACAGAGCGAGACTCTGTCTCAAAAAAAAAAAAAAGAAAATGTGGTGCATATACACCATGGGATATTGTGCAGCCATAAAAAAGAATGAAATGATGTATTTTGCAGGAACATGGGTGGAGCTGGCATTCATAAAGCAACTTCTTTATGGAGGCCATTCTTTAAGGAGGCCATTATCCTTAGCAAACTAACACAGGAATAGAAAACCAGATACTGCATGTTCTCACTTATAAGTGGGAGCTAAATGATGAGAACTCATGAACCCAAAGAATGGAACAACAGACACTGAGGACTTCTTCAGGGTGGAAGGTGGGAGGAGGGAGAGGACCAGAAAAAATAACTGTTGGGTAGTAGGCTTAGTACCTGGATGATGAAATAATCTGTACAACAAAGCCCTGTGACATCAGTTTACCTGTATAACACACTTGCACACGTACTCCCAAACCTACAATGAAAGTTAAAAAAAATTAAAGATTGAATGCTGGAAAGCTCTGTTAAAAGGGTGGAAATGCAAGGGTGAATGTGGCGTATAATGGAAGGCAAAAGAGAAAAGTATTTCAAGGAGGGAGAAGGAATGACTACCAAGATCAGTTGCTGCTGATAAAGCAAGTACTGTAAAGATTTGAAAATAGACCACTGAATTTAGCAGTGTGACCTTAACTAAAGCAGTCAGGACATGAATGGCTCAAGAAATCAGCATACTTGAATAGTATGGAATCTTGTTTCTTTAGCTCTATCCTTCCTACCTCAAAATTAATGTTTAAAAAGCACTAATTATTAGAACATTTCCAGGAGATTGAAATCAGGTTTTCACATTTATTGATATAATTTTTTTCCCTTAACGGTTATCAAGCATTGCTTTTGTTTTTCTCTGTACCAACTGAGCTGTAATGCTTTTTAATT